TGGTTCAAAATGTGTTTAAAGAAGTCACGCATCGATATTCTTAAAGTTGTTCGATCCTCGGATTGAAAAAAAACGTCGGGATCTTGCAACTTCGAAGTCTGACTAGCCTGATATTGTGCAAAAAACGCTCCATGCTTCTATGATTCGTTTCATTTGTACTTTATTGAACCACTCTTTTTTCGGCTATAATCCACTGCCAATAGACACCTCGCAAATATATCATAAACTACATCAGCTGTCAGGTGTTAGGAAAGTACATTGATTCTGTTTACGTATTAGTGCATTCAAAAAAACACGTTGACATAGGTGTTTCTTTCAAAGCGATTTTTAATGATTTATAAAACTGACAAAGTTTTGGGGCAGCTGAATAGCTGCACCAAAACTTTGTCGTATGCATTCTTTTCGATGTCTCCATCGTACATTATTCACAATCGTTGCCAATTTGAGAAGGCAAAATGTTTTTAAGCAATCTCCATTGTAGGTCGAAACAGTCGTTTCCATTTTTTGAAGTCACAATGCTCGCAGCAATCGTACTCCTCGGATTTCTGCCTCTAATCGGTGAGTTAATGATGTCGAATTCAACGAGAGTCGTGATTTCTAGGCATAGTCAGCCATGATTCTGAATCTGAAGTTGGTCATTCACCTAGTAACTTGCTCGAAAGTTTGCTTTCCGTCATCCCTACTGCTGCGTGGTTCAGTGAAAGGCAACTCAACATCAGCAGGAATCCCCGTAGCGAGTCATTACTGTTGAGTTTACATTACTCATGCTCAACTGTCGTAAGCAGTGAGGTTTTACGAGTGAACGGCACCTAGTTTCAAATCAAATAAACACAAATCGTTCTGCTAAAATGATGATAAGGTTATGGTATGAATAGATTTCGAAACGATTGCAGCATTTGTTTGAATGAATGATTCGCAATCTAGTTATCAGCTCATCCGGCTATCAATTTATAATTCTTATTTTCGACTATTCAGTGGTTGCTTTTTGGTGAAATCATTTTCATTGCTCGATGCCATCATGAACCAATTATGATCGGCTGTCAGAACTCTGGCAACGAACAAAAACTTCAGCATTTTTTGCGTAGGACACTTCTGAAATTGCAACTCAAATCAGCTCATCATCACTTATGCGTATGGTTTTCAGTGAATGCGCAGGAAAAATGTAAAGCATTGGAGATGAATGATAAAGTGCGTGAATTCATCACAGACCAGCACAATCAGTTGAGATCGAAATTTGCTTTGGGCAACGGTTATGAATCTAAACCTGCAAAGAATATGTATCAATTGGTGAGTGTTGTGAGTCTTGAACTCTGCATGCTCGTCAGAGTTCAATACGTTCATTCATGTTCTCTACCGATCAATTCTTTGTCGGAAAAGTTAAAAATTACGCTGCTTTGTTCTGATTTTTTCGGCAAGAACTCATTTTCTTTTGAATCTCCGAAACTATCGCATTCAAATTGCAGAAGTATGACTGCCAGCTCGAAAATGAAGCCCAGAAACTAGCATTAACATGTGATTTGCTCCAATCATTGAATGGTGTCAACTATTTCCTTACTGCTGGTCCCGATGCTGACAACACAGAACCTGGTATAGTTTGAAGTTCATCTTTGACGTTGCACTTGGTGACAATAAAAAGAATGCCGTTCACATGAGAATAGCACAAAATTGCACCGCATCTTAGGAAATTCATCAATGCGCGGTTGGTATAAGACATATTGTCATTCAGTGGAGGAATGAATGCGCATGAAGATTGCCCTTCGTAACAAATTTCACTCAATAAACAGTCATTGAGTGTACATTGGATAGAGTGGTGATTATCAGCTGGAGTTTAACTGGTAGAGTCCAACCGTTCATCGCTGATGTTCTGACTAAACCTCTGTCTTGGGCTGACTGCTTTTCGATCTTTCCGAAATCGCAACTTTTCGAAGTGGATCCGTCTGGACATCTATCGGGAATTTTGAAAAAATTCGTGTTAAAGCAGAATTTTGGAACTCACGAAAAGGGCCATATTGCATGACGATTAAAGCAAAATCCTGTTCGGCTAAAGCGGCTGCTTTTATGAGAAATGTATATTGTCCAAAAACTAGCACTTATTGAGGGTTACAAGCCGTTTTGACACCGCTGTTGTGAGACCGGCTCGGCTGTCTGACCATTCAGGAGTGCAGGGACTGAATGTTATAGATAGCCACTACCTGTTGTAGCCAAGACAAGTGGTTCATCACAAGGCTTGCAAGGTCACCAATTTGGAGCGGATGCACATCAAATGTTTCAAATTATAACAGCTTCTAGTTACCTGAGAAAAAAGGAGCAAGAATCGGATTTCTGATTGTCTCTATTAATGGATTACCTCGTATTCCAATAGAATGATCAGATCCATCAGAAACGTTCTTGCACCACAATTTAGGGCACCGAAACGTGCTGTGCCTTCTTTATTAAGATCGACAATTTGCAGAACATATCTTTAAAAACTTGTTGAATTCATGGATCAGCTACATTGAGGACAACGAATACACCTTCTCCTTAACCACTTATCAGGGAAATCCAAATTTCCCTCAGGTAAGTCGATCTGATTTAGTGCTTACAATTAGATTTAGATTATTGTAAGTCTCATGAATGTGCCGTGACAATAATTTAAATCGGCGATTCTTTTATCCTGCTCAATGGGATGCACATTGCAAAGTGAGTGCTTTTATTTCTTATTAAAACTTCTTTACAAAATGAGTAATTTCGCTCGAACGCGAAGTAATTATGAATGGTATCAGTCGCTCTTTCATAAGATATCTTATCAGTGATATTGTTTTCATCGTATGATATCAAAATTTCAGATGGTTTGGGGCTCAACCACTCGATTGGGATGTGCCCTTAACACAAACTGTACCTACTATGAGATGCACGCAGACAGCGTTGTTTGCCGATACGAGCAACCGTAAGTTCCAGACCTTCTTCCGGCTAAAGTGAAAGAAAATCGCATTCTGAAATTGGTTTTTTTAGTTCACCAGAATGAGGGAACTAGGAAATATTTCACTGTTTCGTAGGCACCAATCGAATTTTATTTGATTACCTTTCAGGGGTAATGTACCTGGTGAAGTCATTTACGAAGCTGGCGACCCATGCAAACAAGATTCTGACTGCACCACTTATCCGGGATCAAAATGCCTGGCCGATAAGGGCTTATGTGTGAAGCCGTAATTCATGGATATAGAGTGATAACAACAGAATAATTTGATGTTAACGTGAAAATTAAACAATAAAATTTGCTTGTATTTCTTCTCGCTTGGTGTTTAAATGAACAAGTATGGAATTTAAAGGATAAAAGTTATTTCCAATTAAATGTCAAAACACTTCGATTCAATCTTCATCCTCGTTGATGCAGTCATTCACGTGTTCTGACTTGGATGTATAACAACTGAGCGAACAACAGCAAATGTAGTTTAGCCACTTTATTATTACCCTAAAAGTGCACTGCTCCTACCTGCGACAGATATTGAAATGAAAAGAGGCAGATAATGAGAATCAGACAGCTGTTTTGATCATAATCATCATATCAATATCCAACTCCAACACTGCGATCGCAACTTTTTTAGTTAAGATATTTCCATCTAAAATTCCCGTATCTCACAAGAAACGTACTGCATCTTTAGGTTGTAGATAAACAAGAGATTTATGGAAGGAATC